CTTTTAACATGTACAGGAGGAGAAAAATTACAGGGTTATTATCTACCCCCAAATGAAGTTCAATGTTATGTATCATCTCAAGTTTTACAGAAATGTGTAGGGCCTGTCCTGGCAAATCAGGTCATGGAGGGAGAAGACGAATTCGTGTACTGGGAACAATGATAAAATTACAAAAGAAATAAATCGGATCTGGGAATAGCACATTCTGTTTAGGTTTGGTTACATTCCCTTGTCTTACAGGAGAGGAGAAAGAAAAAAAACATTCTCCTGGGTGGGTCTAGATTTAGGTAGTTAAAGAATTTCACACTTCGTCTGTCTTTGGAGAAGAAGGTGATAGGGGAGGTCAGAAGACACCTTTGAAACTTTTACAAGCTCAGCACTGTGAAAGCACCATATTCTGGGTATTTTTCTGCGATCCCAAACATAATCTATTGTGTGTGGTGTTTTGTGTGTGTGAGGATACATAAAAATCTATACTCTTTTTTTTTTTTTTTTGAGACGAGTCATATGCCTCAAATGTCGCCTAGGCCTGTCGGAAGTGCAGTGGTGTCTTGCCTCACTGCAAGCTCCACCTCCCGGCCTTCAAGGCCATTCCCTGAGGTAATGCATATATTAAATAGCTGGATTTAGCCATTCCATAATGGGGGTGTGTGTGTGTGAGAGAGAGAGAGAGATTTTATATATATATATGTTATATATATATAAAAAATATATAAAAATCATGATATATGTATATATCATATCATTTTTTATATAATAGATATAATATCAATATGGTATGCTGTAATCACAAATATAGATAACTTCTGCTTCTCAATTAAAATAAATAATCAGCCAAACTGGATGAACATAACAACCGTTAAAGTTTTCCTACCTCTAGCTTTCCTCTCTCCAACTCAATTTACCACCCCCTATACCTATCAAGATACATCCTTCAAAATGGTGTTTTCAGTTAGATTATTTTCTTGCTAAAAAAAACTCCAATTCTTGGCCGGGCGCGGTGGCTCAAGCCTGTAATTCCAGCACTTTGGGAGGCCAAGGCGGGCGGATCACGAGGTCAGGAGATCGAGACCAGAAAAAATACCCCAGAATATGGTGCTTTCACATGCTGAGCTGAAGAAGTTTCAAGGTGTCTCTGACCTCCCTCCTATCCACCTTCTCTCCCAAAGCACAGGACGAAGTTGAAATTCTTTACCTACCTAAGATCTAGACCCACCAAGGAGAATGTTTTATTTCTTCTCCTCCCTGTAAGACCAAGAATGTAACCAAACCTAAACAGATAATGTCTATTCCCAGATCCATTTATTCTTTATTGTAATCTTTTATTGTCCCAGTACAGAATTCGTCTTCTCCCTCCATGACCTGATTTGCCAGGACCCAAGGCCCTACACTTTCTGTAAACTTGAGATGATACATAAACATCTGAACTTCATTGGGGGATAGATAATAACCCTGTAATTCTCCTCCTGTACATGTTAAAAGAATTCATGTGCCTTTTCTCCAATTAATCTGCCTTTTATGAGTTGAATTTTTAGCAAACCTACAAAGGATGAAGGGCAAGTTTTCCTGTGCCCCTGCAATAAGTACATGAGGTAATGCATATATTAAATAGCTGGATTTAGCCATTCCATAATGGGGGTGTGTGTGTGTGAGAGAGAGAGAGAGATTTTATATATATATATGTTTGACAGGAGACCGAGATTCTGGTTCTCAAAAAAAAAAAAAAAACAAAAAACAA